ATCAGATAAATGCAAATCAAAACCACAGAGAGCCATTCCTTACACCCAGAAGGGTAGCTACTATTAAAAATAAATAAATGTGGCCGGGCACAGTGGCTCACACCTGTAATCCCAGCAATTTGGGAGGCTGAGGCGGGCAGATTATGCCATCAGGAGTTTGAGACCAGCCTGGCCAACATAATGAAACCCCAATTCTCCTAAAAATGCAAAAATTAGCCAGATGTGATGGTAGGTGCCTCTAGTCCCAGCTACTCAGGAGGCTGAGGCTGGAGAATAGCTTGAACCCAGGAGGCAGAGGTTGCAGTGAGCCAAGATTGCGCCACTGCACTCCAGCCTGGGTGACACAGCAAGACTGTATCTCTAAATAAATAAATAAAGCAAGCAAGCAAGCTAGCTAGCTACCATATGATCCAGCAATCCCACTTTCGGGTACATACCCAAAAGAACTGAAAAGAAGAATCTTGAAGATATATTTATACACCCATGTTTATAATTAATATTTCAAAGTTCCCAGTCTCAACATTAAAAAAAAAAAAAACAACAAAACATCCTATAGAAGTGGAAGGGGAGGCCCCTGGAGTTGAGAGAAATAGAGAGGCCTGGGCTCAGAAGGTGTCTCTGTGTATTCAGAGCCTTCTCAAGAGGCAGCTAGGTGGAGAGGAGGTCTATGGACCAGGGGCCCAGTGCTTGGGAAACGCTGTAAGGATGCCAGGGGAAATGGCATCCTGGGTTCATGCAATTCTCCTGCCTCAGCCTCCTGAGTAGCTGGGATGAAAGGTGCCCGCCACCACACCTGGCTACTTTTTATAATTTTAGTAGAGACGGGTTTTCGCCATGTTGGCCAGGCTGATCTTGAACTCCTGACCTCAGGTGATCTGCCCCCCTCAGCCTCCCAAAGTGCTGGGATTATCACAGGCATGAACCGCCGCACCCAGCCTAGGTGTTAGGTTGGACGGAGTGAAAGTTGAAACATGAAAATTATACTAGCAGTTAATATTTCAGAGTTTCCAGTCCCAACATTAAAAAAACAAAAAGTCCTGTAGAAGTAGAAGGTGGGGCCCCTGGAGCTGAGGGGTGCCATGAGGTCTGGGCTCACAGAGTGTCTCTGTGGACATGGAGCCCTCCCAGGAGGAGGCTGGGTGGTGGAGAGGATGTCTGTGGACCAGGGGCCCAGTGCTTGGGAAATGCTGCAAGGATGCCAGGGGGACGAGAGGGGCAGGGCACAGTGGGAGAGGCAACAGAGGATTCAGGGTGGGATCAGCCAGAGGGGAGGGAAGGCCGAGCAGTGGCAACAGAACTGGAATAGCCACAAACATGAGTCCCAAGCACCAGGCTCCCAAGGCTGGAGAGCAGACACAGCCACTACCCAGAGCACAGGCGTGGTATCCCCGAGGACCTGGAGGGAGTGAAGGGTGCCTGTGTCAAGGGGAGGGGCGGGGAGGGCAGGGCAGAGAAGGGGGGAGGGGGGAGGGGAGGGGAGGGGAGGGGAGGGGAGGGGAGGGTGATTGAGGGCTCAGTGGTGGAGGGAGCCAGGTTGGGGCTAAGCAGGGAGCTCAAGAGAGCCAAGGAGAGGGTTGGGGTGAGAGGGTCTCAGGAGGTGATGAGGACAACAGGGAGGACAGGTGGGGGACCCAGGGTGCCAGCTGAGTCCCAGGCCCTTCCTGATGGGTTTGGGTGGAACTGCTCTGGTCCCTCTAAGGGAGGGCCTCAGTCTAGGGTGCAGCAGAGAAGGTGGGATGAAGACTGCCATCACCTGGATGCCACCCTGACTGTTGGTCCCCCTACAGGTCAGCAGCAGACTAAAACCACAACCTCAGCCAGGTGAGTGCTGGGCCTCCCCAAGGGGTTGGGGGGGTGCAGGTGTAGGCTGGTTTGGGAAACTGAGTGTGCTGCTAAGAACTCCACAACCCCAGCCTGCCACGGCCATTGTCACATCCCCAACTTACCCATCCTCATCCTCCTTTGTCCTCTAGGGACCAGGCTCTTGACTTCGGGCTTTCTGTTCCCTAAAAACTAGACTAATGGACTCCGGGTTCCAGCACACTCTGAGTCTCTTTTCTGGAGTGCCCATCTGTGTCCTCTGCCTGCCTTTCCTGGTAAACTTTTCTGCTCTTCACCTGCTTCCTCTCAGCCTGGATCTTCCAGCTTTTCCATATTGCCTGCTCTCTGTTCATCTGTCCTGGTTTCCTGCCAAATGTGCCAGGGGGCCCCAGGCTTCCTCTGCGTCCAGCTCCTCTTACCTGTGTTTGCTCAGGAGAGACTCACCAGCCTCTCTCTACCTTGCTCCCCTCTCCAGGCTAGGGCCTCACTTTTCCTTTTTCTGGGCTCTTCCTCTCCATCCTCCCACCATTTTCCTTTCCTTTCCTCTGGCCCCTCCTTTCTGTGCCGGAAGAAGGCCTCACCCCTGCTCTTTCTCCTGCACTGACTTGCCAGCTGCCCTTCTCCCATCCCCCACCAAGTTCCTTCTCCGTCCAGTCACCCAACATGAGCCCCTGATCAGACGACCTGAAATTCACACAATTGGTTTGCTTCTCCCAGTTTAAGCCAAGGCAGTGTCAGCAGAGAGAACAAAGGTTGACGTTTCCTATTTTTCTTCTCCATGTTCCTCTCCCATACCAGCAGCTACCTTAAGACAACCCACCTCAGTGAGCACCGAGGGACCTCTACTAGGCCACACACAAATTGCCTCTAATTCCTCTTCCAAGCAGCCTCTTCTGAGTCTAAAACCATCACACCCATCCTAAGCAGGCTGCGCAGGTTGCAGAGCACCCCCAAAAGAGAACCAGCCCCTAACACATGTCATAAATCTTTTTTAAACATTTTATTTTTGAGCGAGAGTATTGCTATCAGCTAGGTTGGAGTGCAGTGGTGCAATCATAGCTCACAGCCTTGAAATCCTGGGCTCAAGCGATCCTCCCACCTCAGCCTCCTGAGTAGCTGGGACCACAGGCACACATCACTACACCCAGCTAGTTTTTGTATTTATTGTAGAGACTGGGTCTTGCTGTGTTACCCAGGCTGATCATGTACTCCTGGGCTCAAGCAATTGCCATCTGCCTCAGTCTTCCAAAGTGCTAGGATTACAGGTGCGTGAGCCACTGCCCAGCCCACGTCATAACTGCCCAGCCTCTTAACATATTTTCCGTCCTCTTGTTCCCATACAGGGAACCCTTCCAAAACACAGAGGAACTATATGAGAATATCAGGAATGAAGGTGAGTCCTCACTATCATCCTTCCCCAGTTTCCACCCCTGGCCCTTCCTGTTTCCCCAAACAGCCCCTACCTGGGTCCATGCCCCTCTCGGTACTTCCCTCTTTCCATTCCTTGCCCCCACGTGACCCTGGTCCTGACCTAGCAGATAACCTCACTCCTAGAGCCCCCTGCCCATCTCTCTCCCCTGGCTGTCACACCACCTGACCTTGGCACACCTTGCTTTTTATTCCTAGGACAAAGTACAGATCCCAAGCGTAATCCCAAGGTAAGCAGTCAGACCAGGGCCTGAAGGAATTAAAGAGAAGCCTGGGCTGGGCACAGTGGCTCATGCCTATAATCCCAACACTTTGGGAGTCCATGGCGGGTGAATCACCTGAGGTCAGGAATTAAAGACCAGCCTGACTAACATGGTGAAACCCCGTCTCTACTAAATACAAAAAATTAGCCAGGCATGGTGGCCCATGCCTGTAGTCCCAGCTACTTGGGAGGCTGAGGCAGGAGAATCGCTTGAACCTGGGAGGTAGAGGTCGCAGTGAGCCCAGATTATGCCATTGCACTCCAGCCTGGGCAACAAGAACAAAAAAAAAAAGAGAAGCCTGGAAGCCTGGAGAAGGTGGGGTGGAAGGGAGAGGGAGTTTGGTGTGGGGAGGACAGTCAGATTGCAGGCTTGCCACTAAGATGAGGACAGCTCCGTCTCAACTAACGCTTTCTCTTTGGGTTTTGACCCAGGACAACGGCATCATCTATGCCTCCCTTGCCCTCTCCAGCTCCACCTTACCCAGAGCACCTCCCAGCCACCATCCCCTCAAGAGCCCACAGAGCGAGATCCTGTACTCTGTCTTAAAGGCCTAACCAATGGACAGCCCTCTCAAGACTGAATGGTGAGGCCAGGCACGGCGAATGCCTGTAATCCTAGCTCCTCCAAAGCCTGAGGCAGAATAGATTCAGCCCAGGCATCAGAGCCAGCTTTGACAACATAGCAAGATGCCATCTCTAATTAAAAATATATATTAACAATAAAATAACAAATTTTTAAAAATTGTCTTCAAAACTATTTTTGTTAAATCTGCATCCATTAAATTCCAGAGAGAAAGAAGTAAAAAAAAAAAGACTGTATGATGACCTTCTTAGGGTATGCTGTGCTTCCAACAGGAAGGGTCACAGCTTCCAACAATAACCAAGGCCACACAGATGACTTAGAGGCCAGCCAGAGAACTGACAGAAACAGAGCCATCTACTCCAACTCCCTCTTTACCTTCCCAGCCCTTGCCCGTAAAACTAAAAGTACTCCCAAAACTTGCCTGAATGTATGTAAGGAGAAAACTGACATCACCTTCAACTCCTGTCCCTCCCACCGAAAATGAACTCTAACAGATAACTCACACCCAAGACCCTTCCTCCAATACTTTTTTCAGTGACTTCCTCAGGCCAGGGAACATGAGTCCCCAAACGCTGGTAGCCAGCCCAAACCCAAAGCCTGCGCTCAAATCCGATCACAGTCTTCCCTATGATGACAACGAGTACATCAACTCATTTGACACCACTCACAACCCTATAAGGTAGAGGACGCACTTGCTGGAAGATGAAGAGCAGAATCAGGATGGTGAACATGCTTCTCCCCAGGCTACAGAGGTAGCTAGTAAGGAGCCAAGCCCGGATTTTAAACCAGATCTGCCCTTCTCGATGTCCTCCCAGGACTCCAGAACTCAGGTCTTACTGCCTTCCCCAGATGCCTACACTGTACAGGCTCCCACCAGAAGCAGTAATGTGCCACAGTGACACTGAGGAGGGGGAGCAGCCAACAGGGGACAGTTAGAGACCAGCCAAGCCAGCTGACCGTAACCTGCTTTATTAACACAGAAACTACGCAACACACTTGAACTTCATAGACAACGAACACCCCCAGCACTTAGCAACTTCTCCCTCCTGCACCCCAGAGGAGGGAGAACAAGAGGGAGTACAGGAGCACCAGCTACTTCCCAAACAGGGCCACAGGGAAGTCCTTGCCATCACTGTCGCTGTGCTGCAGCTCCCCACTCTGACCCAGCTCTCTCCCAACATCTTCCATGAGTTGCTCCAAGTCCAGGTCACTGGAGGTTTCGTCGTCAAGGGAGACACTTCCAGCCTTCTGGGTCAGGGGTTGCCGGGGTCTGGGCTCTTCTTTTGCAGCTGAGGGGCAGGCCCCCTCACGTGCTGATGGGCCCAGGTCCTTTGGCACTGTTCTAACTTCTTTTCCCTCTGAAAAGCTGGCTGCCAAGGCCTTGCTCTGGGGAGCTTTAAATTTTTTCTTAGGGCCTAAATGAGAAGGTGACAAAGCTGAGAGTCCTATTAGGTCAGCTTATCCTTACCTTTTATAAGTCCAACTCCTATATCTCTATTTCCAAGAAATCTCTGGAAAAGATGACCTTTCTCAGTATAAGGAACATGGACTTTGGGGTCAGAAACAGATTCAAGCTGTCCACGCTATGCTAGACACCAGCCTTGTGCACTTTTTAAATCCTTTGAGCCTTAGTTTTCTGATGTCTAAAATGGAAATATCCAGTGAGAGCCATTGAAAGAATTTAAAGGAACAGACATGGAAGTATCTCTTTAGCCAACCCTTGGCAATACTGAATAAATGTTACTTCTCTTCTACCATTCTACTGCCCCTGGGCCAAATCAAATCAGGAACCATTCTGTTTCTATAGTGTGTACTGGGTACAGTCTGAGATGCCCTTTCATTCTAATTTTCATTTGTTCTGTAAAGTAATGAAAAGCTGTAGAATGGTTAAGAAATGATTCAGGGAGGGAAGATGCTGGCATGCACCTCATTCCCCTTAGTTTTTCCCAGGCCTTGAGCCTTACCTGGCTGGTCAGAATCTGAATTCCCTTGGCCTTCTTTCGTTTCCATTCTGGGTGCAGGAGGAGATGTGGATTTCCTGCCCAGAGGTCTCTTCATTATCTTCCTCTGCAGCGTCCTGCCTCGGCCACCTGCCATGCCTGCATCAACCCCATGCCCCAGGCATGAGGGAAACATGTTTATTTCCCTCTAAATGACAGCTCAGCAAGGGCAGATGGACTCCGAACATTGAGTCTCTGCCCTGCCCCACATTTTATGCTCAGTCTCAATCTAGTGAGTTCTCCTGGTGGCCTCTGGCTCTTTTTCGACACATTTTTCCCCCCAATTCTCTTTTTTTCTTTTACCCCATGGATCGTCTCTTTATAGTTCTCCTCAGAGTCTGCCTTCTCCAGGAGGACATCCTCCTTGGCTAAGAACTTAAAACCTTCCATCTTTCACTTCAGATTTTATAATTCAGTACACAAAAGCAAGGGGGCTCCAGCTCCCCACTGACACTATGGGTGAGTCTTGCCTGTTTTCTCAGGTCCTGGCACTGAGACAGGAAGTGAGGTCCAGCTACCTGCAGACTCGCTCTCTACCATTTCCCTGCCTTAACTGTAGGACGTGCCCCATTTCCTGCTGGCCTGCTTACCTCTTGGCTTGGCTTTTTTGGTCTGTGTTTTGACTTGGTTGCAACTGGGCAAAGTTGGGTCCTGAGGATGGAAAAGGAAGTTTAAAAAAATCATAAATTAAGGCCTCTAACTGTTTTTAACAAAGAAGGATGCTACAGAATGACAGGTGAGCTTTGGGGAATCAAAATAGGTTCTGTGAGCCTGATATTGTTTATATTTATGGCAACACAGAGAAAAATGTGTGGTCACTTTCCTAGTCTGTTGGTATTCATCAATGCAAGGCTTTAGGCACGAAAAAATGAAATAAAACTAGGCCATGAGTATGATAAAAATTGCTTAATTAAAATTTAGAAGAGAAAGTGAAAAATATATATTTCCTATACCTGGAAAACAGATGCTAAGAAAACAAGTGAATAAAAATCCTCCATGTCCATGTAGGGAGAAAGGAGTGGAAACAAACAACTGCTATTCTCTGAATTGCTCCCAGAACAGTCAAATAAATACAGTAGGAACTGAAATGATACTCAAGAAAGCAATTCCTAGAGATGTGGGAAATTAGTGAATAAAGAAGAAAGAAACCCTCAAATATCTGACAATTGGGGCTCCCTCGAGACAGGGACAGGATAGCTCCTTAGTAAATATAAGTCCATACTAACGAGATCCTTACAGGAATCTTCTAAAAGGAAACCCCAAGATCCTTGTCTAAACCATTTTTAAAGCTAATCTTGGCCAAGTGCAATGGCTTATGCCTATAATCCCAGCACTTTGGGAGGCCAAGGTGGGAAGATTGCTTAAGCCCAGGAGTTTGAGACCAGCCTGGGCAACCTGATAAAACTCCATCCTATAAAAATAAAGCTAACCTTACCATTTGCTTTCCCTCCTTTTCTAACTCTTCCTCCTTCTCCTCCTTTTTGTCCAAGCAGGATCCTGGGCTGTTGAACCCAGAGAGCTGTAAGTCTAGAACAGGAAAAGGAAGGAAAGGCTAGCTAAATAATTCCTACCATAAAGCAGTGAGTGAATTAAGCTGATCCCAGAGAATCTGTCTTCTAACTATGCCTTTTGTGTCCAAGTGGTATTTTCTCCATAAAATGTGATCCCAGATTATCACACTTCCACCCTTTTCAAAGTCCATCACTATTCAGCACACCACTCTTCCTTCCCCATCCCGTTTCTCCCATTCCTCTCTCCACTCATCTGCCCATCTATCCTGGATACTGGATCAATAACCTTCATAAGAGCCTCCTATTAAAGTATCCAGAATTAGCCCGATGATAGAGAATATAAAATAAAGAAAAACATGGCTGCTGCCCTCATGAAGGAATCCCTCCCCTCCCTCTCCAGTCCTTAGCCTCCACTTATCCTACCTTTTCTTTCCCCATTACTGTTAGATCCGTTGAATCGGCTCCAGAAACCAAACAAGTTAACCCGTTCCTGAAGGAACCAAGAAACAAAAGCATCATCCACTACTCTTTCAGGGGCAGTTTTTGCCTTCTGTCTTCTGGAATTTAGTTATGATGAAATTCTGATTCATTCTGATACCAATTTTTTTTGTGGGGACAGTGTCTTGCTCTGTCGCCCAGGCTGGAGTGCAGTGATACAATCTTTACTCACTGCAACCTCCTCAGCCCAGGCTCATGATCCTCCTGTCTTAGCCTCCCAAGTAGCTGGGACTGCAGGCATGTGCCACTATGCCTGGATAATTTTTCTATTTTTTGTAGAGACAGGATTTTGCTGTGTTATCTAGGCTGGTCTTAAACTCCTGGACTCAGTGGACCCACCTCAGCCTCTCAAAGTGCTAGGGTTACAGGGGTGGGCCCCGCTCTCCAGCCCTCATTTTCCATACCATTTTCACTTAGAATTACACATTAGGCTTACCTGACCTTTTATGGAGATTAATTAATTATAATCTCTATTTCTAGTTTGTTTCTAATTCAACAAATAAGGAAAACTGGAGGGGAAAATGTCGCCTTTTTTTTTTGAGATTGAGTTTTGCTCTTGTTGCCCAGGCTGGAGTGCAACAGCATGATCTCAGCTCACCACAACCTATGCCTTCCAGGTTCAAGCAATTCTCCTGCCTCAGCTTACTGAGTAGCTGGGATTACAGACATGTGCCACCAAGCCTGGCTAATATTTTGTATTTTTAGTAGAGACAGGGTTTCTCCATGTTGGTCAGGCTGGTCTCAAACTCCCAACCTCAGGTGATCTGCCCACCTCAGCATCCCAAAGTGCTGGGATTACAGGTGTGAGACACCATGCCTGGCCTAATTTCACTGTTTTTTATTCTCCATCCCACCCCCACCAACAAAATTTGAGCATAAAAACTGACTTCACAGAAAAAAGAGGTTAGGGCACTTATATCTGAAACCTGAAATGAAATATGGAGGTCAGATGCCCCCTACCACAAATCATTCTTGTCTGGATTGAGGGAGAATCCCACTTGTCCAAGAGTAGGGAAAGGGCTGGGCGCGGTGGCTCAAGCCTGTAATCCCAGCACTTTGGGAGGC